CCAGGAACTGTACCAGCAGCCAAAGACAGGTTCGACTTTAATTCTAAAATGGGAACGTGGTTCATAATCCAAAATGTAAATCTCCAGGTTAAGTCTGTTTGCCGGTTAAGTCTAATCCATTCCAGTAATGCCTATTCTTAATTCCTCGAGAAATTTCTTCTTTAAAATGAATTTCTCAAATGCAGTATGATTGTGAATTTAGTGCAGTCTGAAAAATATCCAGTCAGATGCAAATACATACTTTGTAATTATGAATAAACACTCTTTCGGAAACACTAGTGACAATAAATGGGATTGGATACAATTAGACCCTGGGGTGGTTCTTCCCCTTTTATTTCTGGTGGGGGGTTTTTTTCTTGTTTATTTATACATATATATATTTTTTTGGCATAAGTTTTATAATGATTAGACATTCCATGCCAATAAAACCAGATTTTAATGTTAATACATAAAATACTGAAGTTGTGAAATAAGGGAAATTTAGCAGAAGAAGTGTTATTACTAGTCTCAGAAGATTTTATGATTTGAGAATGATTGAAATTATACACCTAGAGGATAAAAACATGTTTTTAAATTCAGTTACTATCAATAGCTTTATGATGAGCTACTAAATTCTTAATGCTTATTTTTCTAACATTAACAATCCTTTCAAATGTAAGTATTGTGAAAATAGTAAGTTACTTTAAGAAATATATTTCTATATGGATACCAGGTATATTTTCCCTATCATTTCTACGTGAGTGTTCTTGTGTTTTTAATTAAAATTTTAAGAAATTTCTTTGTCCTGGGAAAATGAATGAAATAAAACTCCCTAAGCAAATGAGATTCTCTGCTATTCTGTGATACATGATTCAGTTCTAGAGATAACTAGTTTTAAACCTTGAGAATCTGTATTATGGCTTAAAGTTGTAAAGACAATTGTTTCTCTTTTTTTAATGAAATGTGCATGAATCAGATACCAAAGGTAGGACTGTGTGTGTGTGTGTGTGTGTGTGTGTGTGTGTGTGTGTGTTTTATCCAGAGAAAATGAAAATTAAAAAGTGTACGGAAATGTTACCTATTTTTCTTAACTAAGAATATTTTTTTTTTTTCTGAGGTGTAGGCCTAACCACCGTTTTGTCTGGTATGATTTCTGCCTACTCCAACATAAGAGCTAATCTGATTTTTGCATTTTTCATCTCTAAGCATAATTCTTAGAAATGTGTTTGCCTGATTAAATCAGCCGGGCAGAACCCTGTAATTCATTTATTGAGGGACACGGTGATGTCTTTCTGAATCATCTCATGTCCTGAGGCGCAGGCATTAGGAAGAAAAGGTTTGTGTTTACATAGAGGCACACACAGTGTGTATCTGAGCTCACATAAACAAGGATGAGGTCATTGCTTCCTCTTAGGGCCCATTGTTTCTGCAGGAGCTTTGTTCCCTAGTGGAAGAGCAGCAGCCAGTGCTGGGGCCTGGGGAGTCAGGATTGCCCAGTGTGAGCTAGTGTTCATTGTCATTTCGGGAGGGATTTTGAGTGGGGACATTTGGAATACGTTTCTGAAGCATATAAGAAATGCCGGTATTAAATGAGATAAGCTATTTTAAACAAGTGAGCATACTCACCATTTAATTATCCATCTTCGGAAAAGATAAAGATGGATTTAGAACTGGAATCTGTGAATGTCACCTAAGCCTAACTTTGAGCTAATGCCTTTAATCATTTTCCAGTAATCCTACACGGATTGACCGAGGACCTTCCTCGGTCCTTGGTTAACCGAGTTAAAACCGGTTAAAATAGGTAACATTTTCCTATCTTGCCATTTCCCCTCCCTACAGTCTCCCTACAATTAGCCAAAGCGTGGTGGCAGTGGCAGAAACCGAGGGCAGTATCTGAGAGATTGAACAAGCGAAGGGGTTTTCAGGACGATTGAGAGAAGATATTAACATGTCTCAGAGTATTATCTGAGCGTCTGAGAACTGGAAGTCCAGGCAAGAACTCTTAGAACATACTCTGTTTCTAGCCATTCAGTTAGGTATTTCTGTTTTCAACTCTGTAAGTTAGTTCCTTTGTGGAGCTTTCTTTAGCTTGGCCCCTCGGAGAGCTTCCTTGAAAGGCAGGATCACTAGTGATGAGGAGACTGGGCTCTGGAGCCTGCGAGTTGGGCTACCTGTTCTTGTTTCACCACTACCAACCAGCTCTGCGGCTGAGTATGTAACCAGTGTCTAGCCCTCGGTGCCTTGTTGACTGCCTCTGTGAAGCAGCAAGAGCCCCTGCACCTGTCCTAGGGTTGACGGGAAGATTTGATGAGTCACTGTGCCTAAAGCGCTTCAAACACAGTCTCATTCCCATTAGCAGTCAGTAGGTTTTAACTGTTAACTGTTTAGCAAAGAGAAAAGCTTGAGGGGGGGGGCGGCGGTGTGGGAACAAGTGGTGAGTAGAAGAAATAAGTGTGTATTCAGTACCTGCTGTGGACTAAGCACTATGCTTGATAACTAACACAGACCATTTTTAATATGCACACTATAGGAGAGATACTGCTGTCTTAATTGCACAGATGAGCACATTGAAGCTTACCTAATTCTGAGACTCATTCATTTTAAAGTTGATGTTTACGTTAATAATGAGCTTATGGGCATGGGTATTGTTTGTGATGGTTGTAAGAGAAATTGCAACCCCAGTTTCTAATTTGAGCTTTAGCTTAATGCAGTCATGCCCAAGGCCATCGGAGCCATTATATCCTGCTAGCACACTCCTCTTGGTGGTGGCAGTCCCTTCAGGGCAAAATACCTCATTGGCATTTTGAAAGTGTTGATAGGTGACTGACTATTTGCTCCCCATCCTCCCCCCTCAAAAAATAGAAAAAGAAGAGAAAGTTATGATGTAAAGTAATCTTTACGTTTCATTAAAGTATTTTTTACATGATTTCTTTTTTAAAAATTCTTCAAACAATAAAGCCCTTTCAAGGAAAACAAATGAAGCAGAGCAACGGAGAGGGCGTGGAGACAGCTGCGTAAATGAGGGGCAGGGGCATCATGAATAAACACAATTAGTTGCAACCCTTTTTGTCTCCAGCTCTGAAAGTATAATTGCAATAGTACTAGAGGGAGTTTTTAGGCCTCGGTTTCAATAACAAGCAAGCATCGAGGGTATGTAATATCCTGATTGCACAGACATGCATATAAAATATCCCTCACATTCAGCAAATAGTCAGCCCTTAACTACTGACCTTTTACAAATTACCTTTTTCAAATTAGTGCATGCAAATGTATCATCTTTTAAGTACATATCTACATACTTTCTCAATTGTCACCTCTTACTTCTTTTAAAATTGAAAAGACCATTCTCTGGCTTTCTGTCATTTCAACCATACATTACAGTGCAAGTGAGAATGACATGTGGCCAAACGCCATGTGGCAAGCTTTGATGTCTGCCACTGTTGAGGTTATGGAGAAGAATAAAAGAAATAAGTAAGGCAGAGTGCGGGCTTCGAACCAAAGTGTCACAGGTTCGATTCCCAGTCAGGGTACATGCCTGGGTTGCAGGCTATGACCCCCAGCAACTGCACATTGATGTTTCTCTCTCTCTCTCTCTCTCTTTCTCCCTCCCTTCCCTCTCTAAAAATAAATAAATAAAATCTTAAAAAAAAAGAAATAAGGCAGAGGAGCACAGGTTTATTTTCTTATGATTGTATTTATTTATTTGTTTTCTTAAGCATAGGAGTGTGGCCTGGAGAGGACGTTAAGCCAGCTACTCAGCACAGAGCATCCTCTCTGAGCCACCCATCCGTATCATGTGATTCCTGATAAAGAAAAACTAAACCTGGTTCTCAAAGATCTCATGGTTGAAGAGGGCAGTCAGAAACATAAGTAATTTAATAGATTTTGTTAAGTGCAAAATCTGTTCTATGGCCTTTCATGGGATCTGCGTGGCCTCTCATGGGAGCCCAGAGCAAGACCACTTATACCTGGGATGTCAGAGAGGTGACCCCTAGTTAAACCAGCAGAAAAGAAATGGGGAGTCACATCCCATAAGCTCTTGCAACTCCTACCTCCAGCGCTGTCCCCATGTCTGGGAATAAATTCTGTACCTTCCAACAGACTTTCAAGGTGCCCAGGACTCATTACTTAATACTTACTGAGTTTATCCAACTGGCCAAAATTCTATTCTTGATACAAACTTCCATTGGGTTTTTTTTTTGGTAGTTGTTTTAATGAAGAAAAAATATGTATCTTTGGAAATCATTATAAAATCACATAGTCAATGGAATCACTGAAGACAAAAGAGGTCTTGTCCTTTGTTTTAATGAGAATGAATGTTGTCAAGTAAGGTTGGAATTAAAATGGAAACAACTGGAAAAATATAGAAGCACTTAAGAAGAAATTGAATTGTTGCCGAAAGCATTAGAATCCAATAGCATAGGAAGAATTTAATTAAATTTCAAAGTAAAGTAACTACAGTTTCACGTTGGAAAATTTAATGTCTCTTAGAGCTTATCAATTATTTCTTGGCCTACAAATTAGCAGTGGTTAAGTTGCCTTTTATTTTCCTCGTTTTGATTATTATACTGTTACATGCTGCTTACAGTGGGATCATTCGTGCACCATTACTGCCGAGATAACCATTAAGACTGTGCGCTAGTCCTATGGCTGCATGGGCCTCTGTGTATTTGGGTGAGAAGAGGGAAGGACCGGACTTAAATCCAGCACATCCACAGTCAACTCCCCTCCTACAGCAGAAGGCTGCTATGTGAAAAGAAAGTGTTGATTCAGGAGGACAGTCATCATATACACCAAATATTAAATGACCTTTTAGAAATGCAAAGTGACCCATGGACTAAGCAGTTGCCCTTTAACAAAGAAATGGGATTAATGTTCAGAATAGGGAATTGCAAAGAGAGGGCTCACAACGCTTTCACACCGGAGGATCAATGAGTGGGACCTCTGACCCAGAGCCACCAGAAGAAGCAGTATTTTTGCACAAAGTTGACTCTTTTTTTTTTCTCATTTTTCCTCAACAGCCTCGTCATGTGTTCAATATGCTGAAGAAGTATGTCCGTGCCGAACAGAAAGACAGACAGCACACCCTGAAGCACTTCGAACACGTGCGCATGGTGGACCCAAAGAAAGCTGCTCAGATCCGGTCCCAGGTCAGCACAAAGGGTGGGATCGCCTGCAGCCTTGGTGATACAGTGTTCTTGGCCTCTGAGTCAGAGCGTTCCTTATTCCCAGAGTAGCTATGTGTTGCGCGTGGGTCACCGGCTAGCAGTGACCACGGAACGCTGTGGATGGCTCGACAATAAACACGCGAGAAAAAAACAACACATGCACAGAGACAAACTAGTTTCTGTGGGGAAGTAGGGACAGAAATGGCCACCCCTCCTAGTGGGGAGCGCGCCGATCCACCGTCCATACCTGCTTTTATTAGGCTCATCCTGCATAATAATTCAGGTAAAGTACAGCACTCATTAGGGGAAGTAAGGAACTATAGAAAACAAAGAACTCTGCCCGTCTATTGAGTTGGGGGGTCAAAGAGCTGTAAGGCTGAGGAACAAACTAGCTTCCTCCTAAGACCCTTCTCATTCAACTGAGAGCGTTCTAAACAAAGAAGGTTTCACAGTAATTTACATGTTCTTTCTTAGGCCTGATCACCCCGGGAAATCCGCACTTCTCAGTACCGAGCTGCACCACCCTGTCATTGTTTCAGGCTTAGGTGGAGCAAGGGAACTAAGGCAATCAAGAGATAAGGAGATTTTCTCCCAGACGATGAGAACTCAGGCTATGTCAAAGCCGAGGAGCGAGGGTCCATCACCCCCCTTTTGCTGCAGCCCCCCAAGTCCTTCTTTTTGGGGGGCCTCCCAAAGTGATCGTGCCTGGCTTGGGTTGTTCTCCCCGTGGGGAATCTTACCCGTCTTTGGCTAACCGACCAAGCTTTTTGGGGTTCAGCAGCAGAAGCAGCATTCCTGCCAGGGAGATAAGCTTTTGTCTCCTTGCCGGCTCACGGTTCCAAGGGCGTTCCCTTAGCCTTAGCTAGGCGGGGGTTTCAGCTTCTGATACCAGTCAGGGCGGTTCCCAACAGCTATGGGTGTTAGGCAGCTACCCTTTAATACCTGGTAAATTCTAAAGGCTTGACTTAGAGCAACATGGGGTTTGGCAGTTTCTGAATTATTAATAAGGAACATAAAAAAATCTTCAGTGTCTACTGCTACTGATTCTCAAAGGAGCCATTTAAATCTCTGATGACTAAAATGACAAAAACAAAAAGTGTATAAAGCAAAACCTCTCAAATTGGTTCAACTAAATTGTGGTAGGCAGTCAGACACTCACAATGCTTGGGAGTAATGTGAGCCTGTCATAAATATGTTTTATGCTTCTCCATTCCCAAAGGTCGACAACTGGCATCTACCGCTGGAAATCTGAAACTGTACATTTCTTTCCACTGAAGAATTTAAAATACATCTATACTTCGTTTCATGAAATATCCAGTCAAATTAAAACGTATTCTCACCTATTTACAAATTTGCAAAGGAATGTAATTAGGACATCAGAGGTTATTTAGGGACCTCAGTATTAAGAACTAGAGTTGGATGCAATGATCTTTCTAACTGGCTCTGCATTTTATGGTTGCAAGCATACAATACAAGGGGAAGTGAAGAGCAGCTCTAAAGTGAGGGAACAAACAGTGATAGAAGAAGGAGAATAAGGAAGCCCTTTCAGGTTAAAAGTTTCAGCAGTGTTTTCCCAGTTTCATTTTGAAGTTTGTTATCTGTCTGTGATGCTTGGTAAGGAAAAGCAGGTCCTTACTCCAGAGATGGTTTACCTGGACCTGTCCCCTTTGGTGCAGGTGATGACACACCTCCGTGTGATTTACGAGCGCATGAACCAGTCTCTCTCCCTGCTCTACAATGTCCCTGCGGTGGCTGAGGAGATTCAGGATGAAGTTGGTAAGTAAGCCGTTCTTTCAGTGCCATGCATAGCCACATGTTTTGCTCCTGTAGCAGCCAATCCGAGAACAAGTCCATCTGTGTCAGCGATCACCAGTGTCCTTGTGTGTGGAAGGGGAAAGAGCAAATTCCTTTGAAATAAAACTGGGGAATGGAGCTCTCTCACCTACCTGAGCAATTGCATCAGGTCTTAACTATTCATTCTTACAAAAGTGGGGGAAGACGACTTATGGTATGTTTGTGCAATGATGAGCCATTTGTTGGCTTTTACTTGTCAACAGTTTTCTTCTAACTTTGTCAGTCTTGTAAATATCACCTTAGGGTGCTTTGATACTTTACAGTGTAATGAAGACAACCATCTTTTCATCTTTTAATGCTTTATTGTCATAAGCTTTGAGAGGCGTTATATCCCCACTTCATAGATGAAGGAGCTCAAACTTACAATTTAAGAAACTTTCTTGACTATGTCACACACATCCTAAGTAGCACAGCAAAAGCACAAAACCGCAACTTCTGACCTTGAGGTTATTGTTATGTTCAGTAACTCACATCTTTCTTGGAACCCCTCCCTCGCCCCCCTGCCCACGATAGCCATGATGATCGTCTGAACCACATGGTTGTTTAAACATAATTAAATGATTTGCCCACTGTCTTCTATGAAGCTTTTATTTTGAAGTAATTGTACACTCATAAGAAGTTGGAAACATAATACAAAGTCCATTGTGCCCTTCACCCACATTCCTCAATAGTAACATCTTTCAAAACTATGATACATTTTCAAAACCAGGAAATTGACATGTGTGCCCAGTATCTTTTATGACCCTAGTTGTCCTAATGACATCTTTAATATTTCATATAAGTTCTCCCATCTCTGGTTTTCCTGGAGAAGGGAGTAAAGTATCACATAATTCTTCACAAAACCCCCAAGTGCCCATATCTATTTAACTTTACCTCACAAAAGTACATAGATGGCAATTACTCTAGTGAATCTTTCAACATAAAAGAAATGTATGTAGCCCTGGAGAGACGATGCATAAACTCTCAGCAAATAAGCAATATGTATGTGTGATGTGTCTCTCTCTCCGTAGGGACAGCATATCTGAAATCCAAACAGCCAGAGTGTTGTGGATGGGTAGACTCATAAGCAGGTCCAAAACACCTCTTGGCTTGTGTTTTCCATTTAGTGCCAAAGCTGTTCTGCCCTTTCTTTTCTAACATATTGCCTTGTAAATGTTGTTTGTATTATTATCAGTCACGTGTTTCACAGGTATCAGAGGATGATGGTCTGATGAGTACTGTGTATTGACAAAACTAATCAAGTCTACCTCGGGTTACATGCACTGAAAAGAAACTGGATCATCCAAGCTTTGGTTCAGAAGGGGAGCTCGGTGCTGAGCCAGCTCTTAGGAGGGTAGTCAGGAGAGCTTTCCGTCTACACCGTGGATTGGAGGCAGGATTTCCAATCAATTTTCAACTCAATATATTAAGTTTCTGTAAGAACGAAATATTCTTGTTACAAGTATTTGTAGGATAGAAATGTGTAAGGATTCTTTAAAATACTGTAGTTTAAATACGTACAAGAAAATCTTTCAACAAGTTGTGAAGGGACAAAAATCAAAGACATCGTCACATTCTTACAAACTGAAGCTCACATCTTCTAGATGAATGTATCTTTTTGCCTTATACCTCTCTTAACAAGCTTCTTTCATGGATATGTGACTTAATCGAGGTGTTGCCAGTAATCCCAAACTGTAGAGGCATCATAAGCCTCTGCGAAGGACTAGACAGTCGGTGACCACTAGTTATTCACTCTCACCCAGTAATTGTGGTTGACTCCTTCTCCTTAAATTACCAGGACTTTGTATTCAGCAAGAGAGTACTAAAACAGTGGCCGCTAATGAGTCATCCATCCGCAGAACAGATGGTGATTCTGATATCTGGAGTGTTACAGAATGCCTAAGAATAGGGCCACACAGTAAGCTTCAAATCTCAGTGATGGGAGGATCTTTAGAACCATTGGAATCACTCAGATTGTTGGAATCATGGAGTTTTCTTTTAAAAAGAGAAACGCTCAACTAGTAAGTTGGATTAGCAGCACGTTATTTTTAATGTTTTTGTCTTTGTCGATATACTAGACACCGAATCCTGAAAGATAACCTTTTAAAAAAAATCTTTCTGGCCTCCATTTTTAAATGGCTGTTTCCAAAAGAGAGAGAGGCTTGCAATAATGAACTTCCATCAAATAGACGTGTGCACCATTTGCACTCCTAACAAAGTGAAAGGAGAGACAGCTCCCTGGGGAGAGTGGCTTTTGTGGACTGTGATGTTAGTTGTCTTCTGCGGTGGTTCTTCATCTGAAAGAACATTTAAAAATAACTCACTTTCAAAGTAGGAATATCCATAAAATAAGATTGGCGTGAGTGCTGATTGTTTAAGCTGAGGGCATTTGGAAATTCTTTGTAGTATTCTTTTTACTTTTATGTTTGAAATTTTGCGTGACAGGTGTTTTTTAGCTTACTTTCTGAATAGGATCTTCACAGGTTTCTTCTAATTTATATCTTGTGCATTTAATAGTTTCTAATTAAATGCTGTGTCATTAGTCTGACCTGTGTTCGTTTGCTTTTTTGTGTATAATCAAACTTTAGGTTTGGAGTCAGTTCTGTGCCAACAGGAAAGACGATAAAATTCAGAGCCGCAGGCAGAAGGACAGGATCTGAAAGGACCTATACATGCATTCCTTTTATGTAAAAGTCTGGGCCAGTAGATGCGGGCAATTAGGATGTGTGAATGCAGTCAAACACCTACATTAAATTGAGAGAAATACAATGGTTTAATTAAATAAGGGTAACAAGTGCTCTTGAGATGAAGTGTTACCCCAGTCTGAGGAACTGCCAGCATCTTTAGTGATTCAGGTGTATCTGCTGCAGTTAATGTATGCTCCCATTCCGGTAGAATTCTCTGTTGTGGATGAAGAAAGAAGAAGCTAGCCACACTCGAAAGAAGGAAGTGCGAGCGTGGGAATTGCCATCAAATTACTGAGAACAGCAGGGTGTAACTGGCGAGAGCATAGAATCCATCGGAATTCCGTTCACAAACTAGACCCAAATTCGTAGGTCTGATAGCCCGTCTATTGAGTCCCAGTGACATATGCCGCTGGTTCTCACACATTTCTCAAACTACAGTCAGTGTGTACGGAGAACTCATTTGTTCTTCTGGAAACTTACTCATTCTACAGTTTTAAGTCTGAGTTCTCCCAGTTGTCCTTTACTTATCCATGGTGTCTTCCTCTCCCTCTCCCTCTCCCACGATTTCTTCTAAATCTCAAGGCATCTATATTCTGCCCCTGGTGTTCACGTGATCCCTGCCCTGTACACTCTCCACCCCAGTTCAGAGCCTTGTCCCTCCCTCATGGGTTCCACGAGGCTCCAGCCACTAGCCTTCCTGCCTCCTGTTGCTCCACGGCCCCTTCTACCCAAATTCCTCCTCTTCGGGGCTGCCTGTGTCCCCAGCTTAAGTGCAAGTAAAACTTGTACATGGTTCTTTCTTGCTTAAGAAGCACTCTTCAGTACTCAACTGAAAAGCCCATGCTCCTATAAACTTTTGACTGATTTGCATAGAGAACAGGAGGGAAGAGCTGGCATTTGAGTGACAGCCAAGTAGCAAAGCAATGAGTGTCTGTTACTGAGAATGTTGACGGTCCAAGTTCTTTAAAAAAGTTCACCCCGAAGGTGGAGGGCCATAACATAGAGATGGGGCAGATGGTTTGGGGGGAAATTGTGGCCTGGCCTTCATTTTACAGCCCATTCATGGAACCAAGCCCTGGAGCACTGGGCCGTGTCCACTTCAAGTGGGGTTTTCTTGTAACCGACACAAATGCACACACACGAATGAGCCCATGACAACACTGGTGAATTCAGTGATAGCACCCCCTATCTACAGTCGAAGGAACTGGACTTTAGAGAAAGATCAGTAACCTGCCCTTAAGCGACAGGTAAAGTGATGAAAGTGGAATTGGGGCCAAGATTGGCACAAGTGCAAAACTCACGCCCCTTATGCTCTCCTTTCTCCTCTGTCAGGTAGAATTTTCTTCTCCTTAGCCTCAGTGTCTAAAGCGCTGTGGATCCACCTGTAATGCAGTGCTCTGCTTGGTGCTTCATTATTTGTTTGCATGTCCTCCAGCACCCCATCCTTTGAGCTCTTCCAGGCTGTGTCCTGGTCATCTTTGTATCCTCAGGATCCGGCAGAGGCCCTGCTGCTTTCTAGGTGTCAGAGTAATCACAGACAAGGTTGAAGCAACTGCCCAGACTGCGGGGTAGGTGCTTCTCAGGCTGATCAGGTGGCCCCCCCGGAACCCTAAAGACTCACTTGAGCTCCTTCCTCAGCACAAGCCCAGCGTGGCACACAGCAAATCTTCCCGCGGCCACAGCATTCTCTGAAGCCCTGTTTGATCAAGCCAACACAATGGGTGCAGTCGACAAAGCCATCAAAAGAAAGAAAGCCAAAGTTCTGAGGGCCATCATTAGTAACATTTTCTAATTGTTGTGTGTCATATCCCTGACACTCTGTTGTTTGGTCATCTGCCCAGGCCCCATGCTTGGACACTTGATGTTTTAAGTGCATCGTCTGGTTGGACGGTTCTGACCGCCACAGTCTACAGCTGTTTGTTCCATGTACCTCACTAGTCTGTGCGATCATCCAAACTGCCCTGTTCGTTTTACAAAAACTTGCCTTTTGTTAATGATAACTTTTCAGTTAAGTTTGAATTATTATGTGCAGGTTCCCAAGCACAGTTATTTATTCATGTTTTCCTTTAAAAAATAAAACAAAAGTTATTTGCATGCAAATTACAAAGTTTTCTTACAAAGGAAGCTTAAGGCATCATTTGTAAAGGGGAACAAAATCCCCTTATTCACTTAAAGTAGCTGTTTTTTATTCAACAAATGATAGAATCATTATTTGAAGGAAAATATACCTCCTCTTTGGTGTCCGTGTTCTTTTTC